TCGCTGTGTCCTGGTCTCTGTCCTGACCCCTGACCCCTCTTGTGTCCTGGTCTCTGTCCTGACCCCGGGCCCCTTCGCTGTGTCCTGGTCTCTGTTCTGACCACACCCCTTGCTGACACCACGTGTCATTACAGAGGAAGAGCTGCTTCCTGTTGACCTGAGCTCCTTGTCCAGCAAACTGCTGCCGGGCTTCACCACGCTGGGCTTCAAGGACGAGCGGAGAAGCAAAGGTAGGACAGGAGCTCTCTGGGGGGGAGGGGTGCCCCCTCCTCCAGGGCCAGTGTCACTGCTTGTCCCTCTCCAGGGTTTCCCAGCTTCCTTCTTCATGACCAGTGAGTAATGAAGCTAGTGGTGAAGTGAGGCTCAAGTGAAGCAGGGGTACAGGACATACAGGCAGCTCCACCTCCTTCTCTAGGGCACTGGTGGGCCTTGCCTCACCCCACCCCAGGGTCAGGCCTCTCCCCCCCCCCACCCCAGGGTCAGGCCTCTCCCCCACCCCTCTACTCTAGGGTCAGGCCTCTCCCCAGCCTCCATCTCAGCATAACCTTGTCTCTTTTTCTTCCGGTTAGTCACATTTCTCTCAAGTGCAAGTACGGCCCTCTCAATGCAGAATAACTCGGTGTTTGGTGACCTGAAGTCAGACGAGATGGAGCTGCTGTACTCGGCATATGGGGATGAGACGGGCGTGCAGTGTGCGCTGAGGTATGCTTGGGGCACAGTGGGCTGCTCCCCAGCCCTGCTCACAACACCAGGTGCCCTCCTGGTCCCCCGTGAGTTCAAAGCCAGAACAAGTCACTGAGAAGATAAGCCTTTATCTTGCTTCTTCGTGAAGGAGATCGCATGATACATTGGAACATATACACACAGGGCGCTCAGGTGGCCGTGGGTGCGGAGCTGCACTGTACCCTACAGATGGACTTCACGTCCTCCAGCTGCCCGTGCGGGAGACATGGACTGTCTCCTCCCATGGTGCTCTGCTCAGTCAGTTCTGACTCCAAGACAGCCACAGTCTGTACACACGTGTACACAACAGATAGACAGATTGGCACCTTTGTACCTTGCTTCTGAGTAAACATTTCAAAGGGCAGGTGCTATTTCCATTAAACACATGGAGCCTCTGGGTTGTGGACCCCACATGACCCTACCCCTCCTGGGAGACCCAGGCTTTGTGATGGCTTCAGAGCAGAGTCTCCTCACGCAACCCTTTCAGCCTGCAGGAGTTCGTGAAGGGGGCAGGAAGCTACAGTCAGAAGTTGGTGGACGACCTCCTGGACCAGATCACCGGGGGCGACCACTCCAGGATGCTGGTCCGGCTGAAGCAGGTGGGCTTCCCCACACCAGGCCGTGCCTCAGCCCTCTGCTGGTGTCCCTCCGGCCCGTGGGATCCTTACCTGCTCTTCCCTCACTCACTTGAGATTCTTTTGCTTTAAATAGTCATTTATTATTTGAAAAGATATAAAAGGAAGACCATGGTTTTAGTCCACGGGCCTCTCCACAGCGTCACCTGAGCCCTGAGTGCTCACGCTGAAGCCTCTTCAGGTGGCCTTTGCTGTCCCTTTGTTCAGGTTGTATTTTACCCAGCATGACGTTCTGGATGCACGGTTTTTCTTTTGATTTGAAAGCTGCCCATGCTCTGGTGGCCACTGTTTCTGGAGATGTGTGTATGGTTATTTCTATCGTGATTTTCCGGAAGCAATGTGTCTTTTCCTCTAGATCAAGGGCTGACAGCATGACTCCTCACCAGGCCAGGTCTGCAGCCTGTTTCTATCTGTTCCCCAGCTAAGAAGGTCTTATGTGTGCTTTCAGAAGATTGTAAATAGGAAGGTTGTAGTGAGCCCACGTGGCCAGTGACCGCTCACTTGCAGCCTGCATGCTGTGTAAAGGCTATCAGTGCTCCTGAGACCATAGTGTCCAGACGTGCTCCAGGCCTGTGGCCTCACAGGATGACCACACCGGCCTCCTGACGCCCAGGGTGGCCAGGTCGGCCTCCCGACGCCCAGGGTGGCCACGCTGGTCTCCTGACACTGCAGGGTGGCCA